GCTACGGCTTTATAATACTTTATATGTTGCTTAGCTGTGTTGTCTGAGTACAGCAATACCCCCGTATGTACCTTTGCCAGGTATATGTGGACGTTGAAGGGGCACATTTCAGACACCGCCATTGCAGGTTTTTTCAAACTTTAAATTTTTACGCTGTGTTTTTACCCCACTTTAGAGTTTTCTAGCAGGCTATATATTCCAACTATCCCATAAAAGCATACTATTTCTTAAAGAAGACATTCCATGGTATTTCAAAAGGCATATTTTGTACCTTAGCGTGGGATCATTTTTCTGCTAGCTTGTACCAAGTGTAGTGGTAATAATAATAATTTTTCTGTTTTTTTGGCACACATAGTGAGTTTGTACTGTATATTTTGCAAACCTTATGTGTGCTACGGCTATATAATACTTCCTATCTTGCTCAGCTATGTTGTCTGACCACAGCAATACCCCCAAAATTACCTTTGCCAGGTATATGCGGACATTGAAGGGGCACATTTGAGACACAGCCATTTAAGTTTTTTCAAACTTTAAATTTTTACGCTGTGTCCATACCCCAGTTTGGAGGTGTTTTTGTAGGTTAATTATTCCAGCTACCCCATAAAGGCATACCATTTCTTAAAGAAGACACCCTAGGGTATTTCAAAACACGTGTTTTGAACCTTAGTGTGAAATAATTTTTCCGCTTGATTATACCAAGTGTAGTGGTAATAAGCATTTTTTATGCCTTTTTGACATACTCAATGAGTTTGTAATATATATTTTGCAAACCTTATATGTGCTACAGCAGTATAATACATCATATGTTGCTCCGCTATGTCATCTGAGTACAGCAATACCCCCGTATGTACCTTTACCAGCTATATGACAACGTTGAAGGGGCACATTTGAGACACAGCCATTTAAGTTAGAATTTTTACGCTGGGTCCATGCCCCACTTTGGAATTTTTTTAATAGGTTGTGTTTTCCAATTACTTCACAAAGGCATACTATAAGACAGCCCAGGGTGTTTCAAAAGGCATATTTGAAACCTTAGCGTGGTATCATTTTTTGCTAGCCTGCACCAAGTGTAGCGGTAATACGCATTTTCCCCCTTTTTATTTTTTTTTTACTTTTTAAAACTTTTTTTTAACTTTTAAAGAGTTTTATTTAGCTTTTAACAACTTATCTTACTATTTTAAAACTTTGTTTAACCTTTTCAAAAGTTTTTTTTCCCTTTGAATTGTTTTTTTAACTTTTAACCCCTAACTGTAAATCCCCCAATTTCCCCACTAACTTCTACCTACCCTAGCTAAATAAATAAATATTTTAAAATATTTAAATGAATTAATTAAATACATTTAACCCCTGAGGATTAAAAAAAAATAAAAGTTAACCCTCAGGGGTTTAAAAAAAGAAAAATCAGATCACAGTGAAATACTGTGATCTGTATTTTGATCACTACAGGCAGTGATCAAAGGGCAGGGAAGGGGTTAAATTTTATTTGAAAGAGGTGAGGGGGGGGGGTGGGATTTTGTAACTAACTGTTTTTTGTTTTTTTTACAGCCAGAGACAGATCAGCACCTATCTGTCTCTCTGCAGTTCACAGCTCACACGGAGCTGGGCAGTTTCACTGATTCAGCCCATGTGATCGCTCTGGCCGGGAGCCAGAGCGATCACACTCTGACTCCCGGCCAGAGCGATCACATGGGCTGAATCAGTGAAACTGCCCAGGTAGTGTGCCTCCGATATGGAGAAACACTACAGGAAGATTAACCCCCACTTGTGGTAATCAGGGGTTAATTTTCATTTTGGATGGAAATTTTTCGTCCAGCGACCTTAAGGGGAGTGCTGCAATGAAGGAAAATTTCCGTCCAGCGTCCTTAAGGGGTTAACCCCTTAAGGACTGGCCTGTTTTTGTGATGTTGTACGTTAGGGACCAGAGCGGTTTTAACACTTTTGTGGTGTTTGTGTTTAGCTGTAATTTTCTGCTCTCTCATTTACTGTTCCCACACAAATTATATATTGTTTTTTTTCAGGACAAGGGCTTTCTTTACATACCATTATTTGTATCATGTCATATATTTTACTTTAAAAAAAATAAAATAAAATATGCTGAATTTTTAAAAAAAACAAAACATGTTTTTGGACTTTTACTTGAAAAATCTTATAATTATCTACAAAAGCTAATGAAAAAACTGCTAAATAAATTCAAAATTTTGTCCAGTTATATTTTGCAAGTTATAGGGCTATAAGTACAAGTAGGAAATTGCTCTTTCAATATATATATTTTTTACATTTATCAATAGTGACATTGTAACGCTGTTATCTGTCATAAATCCCCGAATCACACCCCACATGTACATATTTTTTTAAAGTAGACAACCCAGGGTATTTAATATGGGGTATAGCCAGTCTTTTTTAGTAGCCACTTAGTCACAAACACTGGCCAAAGTTAGCATTTATATTTGTTTGTGTGTTGAAAATGCAAAAAATGCTAACTTTGGCCAGTTTGTGACTTAGTGGCTACTAAAAAAGGCTGAACATACCCCATTTGCAATATCTTGGGTTGTCTTCTTTTGCAAATGGTATGCCATCATGGGGGTAATTCTCATTGCTGGGCTACCATACTGTCACATCCTGCTCTGTTCTGCGGAGATGTCTGGCCTTGGCTTCTGGTATCCAGTACTCTTTTTACAATTCTTGTTTAGTTTTTCTTGGTTTTTCAGTTTTTTTAGTCTATGTCTGTTTGCTGGGATTTCAGGGTTCATTCCTGTAATCCATCCATGGGATTCCCAGTCTCCAGGTTTCCTTTAAATGTTTGTTTTATGTTGCCACACCAGTTTGTTTTCCATAATTCCTTTTGTTTCAGTGTTCCTGCAGGCAGCTGCTCAAGGCTTCTGCCCTTTCTTGCATGTAAGTTGTAACGGATCACCTGGCACCCTGACTGGGTACCTCCGTTGAAGGATGCTCCTAGCGCTTCCTGAGGACTCCAAGCACTGCAGCCGACACCAAAACCACCGAACCGTAGTAGCATTTGAATGCTCTCAAGCATCTGAATGTTATATACAGCCGAATAGGAAAAAACATGCAAATAGATTTACACTCCTAGCAGTCAAACTGGAACAGCATACCATAAATCCTGCCCCAATAATGAGACGACACTTCACTTTGAGGGTTAAACAGGAACAACACTGCTGGCACACCCAGCCTGGTTTTTATTACAGTCTTGCACATACAGGACCGCCCACAGGGAGGTATAAAATAACCAATCAAATAACAGTTACAACCCACAATGCATCACAATCCCTCCTCCCTGGCCTGGAGATAATTGGAGAAGTAATCCAATTATCTCCAAGGACAGAGGCAAACTCCATTACACACATGGCAGACAAAAGACAGTAAAATACAATAAAACACACAAGGTTACATTTATACCTAAAATACAGACATTCTACCTATCCCCAGATAGCTTAGATCTGAGCGCACGTTATTACCGGATGGCGCTCAGATCACATACATACAGTTCAATCGCCATGGAGCCAAAGTCTTTCATACAGTCTTTCAGTATACGGCTGGGCTCCATGGCATAGCTATCTGGGGTAGCATGGCTTTACAGTCCGCAGAAAGGCACAAACCAGGGAAAAAGAACAGGGGCCATAGTCTAAAGGTAAGAGGCGGGCAAGCAGCCCCCTCCAAGGACACGTGGCAAGGTCGGTTTTGCCACATAAGTGCTATATATGTCTTCTTTGGTTGTTTTAGCATACATTAGGCAGTGTAGGATCTGCCAGATATGAGGTACATTGGCGTTGTTGGCAGGCTTATGCAATGTATGATCATATAATGTAACTAAATCCCCATACTTTTCATATATGGTGCTTAGTTATGTCTCCTCTTGTTTTGCCTATTATATCTTGTCTTGTTTTATTTTGTAATCCCAGTTCATGTACAGTCCTGTCCTGCCCTGTTCTTGTTTTCCTCATGTCTTGTGTACATGTTCTGGGTTCTGCTTTCTGTCCTGCTCTGGTTCTGGGTTCTCCTAGTTTTGTCTTGTTTTCATGTATGGTGCCTAGCTTTAGTCTTGCCTTGTTTCTGTACTGGATACATTCTTGCTGCAGACCGGCGAAATACATATAAAAGAACAGGAAAGCAGAAAGGAAGCATTACCGACTGAGGAAGCCCCTGGCACGGGGCGAAACGCGTTTTGGTAGAGACTTTTACTTGGACTCTTTTATTTTATTCAAGTATATATGTTTTATTGGAGAAACTCTCCTTATTTTTATCTTTTACCACCAATATTGGAAATAAACACTTTACTTTCTAGTAAGTGTTTTTAGCTGCATTTCTTTGGGTAAACAGAAGATCCACAGAAGGAGAGGGACATCCTACAAATAGTCCCAATGCTGTTCCCATGAGAGCCACATGTCTTTGTTTGGCTCTCGGTTTGTGAGTACCTGACCACTTTTACTTACATCTTGGCCATTAAGTTGCCGACAATATTACACTATATTGCTGTTTATTTATTCTTTATTTAGATATTGCCAGAAGTGTGATCCACCTACTGTATGTATTGCTTTTTGTTTATTTAAGAGTGGTATAAGGGGTTCCCCACTCAGGTGTTAGATCACACTTGCACTTTTCGCACTGTATTTACTATATTCTTTATTGCTGTTAGTATTTATTTAATCCCCTTGTTAGATACAGTTGTTGATCTTCACACTATGTCGTACTTAGACAATAGAGAGTACACAATTAAAAATATAGATCATATGTTCTCAGAAATAATTGAAATTGAAGATGAAATTGAATATACCAATTCTGATACTTGTAAAAACCATTTAGAAAGAATTCTCATCCGAGAAATGAAAATAAAATGGGAAATAGCTACCCTAAAGAAATACGTAAATGAACAAATTACTCCCAGAGGGCTTAGATTTGAAAAAGATCCCACATTTGATAGGGAAGATCCAAGCTTTATGCTCGGATGGAACAAGTTGTTGGAAGGCTTTGCTTTTAGTATGATGGGGTATATAGTGTCTAGGAGAGAAGATACTCTAATTAAATTAGATGAAGAAATCACAATATGGAGACAAAAACTCAGTGACACTACAAATCCAGAGACTTTCAACCAAATCATTAAAGAAATAAAAAACAAAGTGGAAAAAGCTGAAAGAGACACAATAACTATTAAAAAAAAGAAATACCTAAGAGACACCCACGATTATAAAACAGGCAATGTCAGATTCCCGAAGAAAAAATCCAACAATTCAACTAAGGTCTACTGGAATAAAAGAAATGTAGAACCATCTCAAGAATCACCATATAGATCTCAAAACAACTCCCAACAAATAAAAACAAATAGAAGACATTTCAGAAATTCCCCTAATAAGTTTCAATCTATAAGGGATTATAGATCACGTAGAACATCTTTTAGGAGAAATGACTCACCACCTAGGAAGAACTCTTCATACCTCCGGAAAGATTGGAGATATAGTGATGCGGTCAAATACTCCCCTCCAAAAGAAACATTACGTAAAAGATATGAGACTAGAGAAAACATCAAGAATAGCTATCCCATATCAGGGTCCACACAAAGAGCAGACCCAACATCGACACTAAATCCTGATATGAATTACATAACAAAACAATCAGAAAGAGAAAACAGGAGAAAAAATAGGGATAGAGACTATACATCAGTAACCCCTGGTAGGGAACTGAGAGAAGCTGAGGCTCATCACTCTTCTTTTTTTCAAAAGGGTTCTGTAACAGAGAGGCTGAAAAAATCAGAACAATACAAAACATGGGAATCTCCAGGCAAACGCCAAAGACCCAGAGAGAGAGAGATGGAGGAAGAAGAGGAAGAGTTAGGCAACCTAATCAAGAGAGGGAAGAGATAAATTCAAATGGTATCTTTAATCTGACAGGTCACACATTCACAAAAAAAGAATTATCAGTTTTAAAAAAAGGCCTCAAATTCGCACCTACAGCAGAATTTAATAAATTTGATTTCTTTGTTGATATTAATCGATTTATGAGGAGTTTATGTCGGAAGAAGTTTTTTTATGGAAAGGAAGAGGAAACAAATAGGGAAATAGTAACCCCTTTTATACAAACAACTTTAAAAGAAAAATCCTCTTTTTTCCCAAAACAAATGATCTCCGATGAAATGAAGTCATTTGAGATCATGGTGATGGGAGAAATGAATAACATAAAGAAGCTGAACAAATACCAACGAAATATGACGCAACAAGAAAAAAATACTCTGAAACAACTACAAAAGGACAAAAATGTAATTATTAAACCAGCTGATAAAGTGGGGGGTATTGTGGTACTTCCCAAGGAGAAATACTTAGAAGAATCCGAGAGGATTCTCTCAGATGTAACAACTTATCGAAAACTCTCCGCAAATCCCTCAAATAAAATCAAACAGTTATTTGAAAAATATATAGAGAAAGGAGTAAATAAGGCCATTTTAACAGAAAAAGAGAGTAAATATTTACAGGTTACACACCCAAAGATCCCTGTATTTTATTACTTACCAAAAGTCCACAAGAATATCTCAAATCCCCCAGGTCGCCCAATTATATCTGGTATAGACTCCATATCCTCCAGGGTCTCTGAGTATATAGATATTCTCCTTCAACCCCTAGTTGCCAAAAACCCTTCACATCTCAAAGATACGATACAGACATTACAAGTTTTAGACTATATTCAATGGAACTCTTCGTACCATCTAGTTACAAGTGATGTCACGTCTCTCTATACGATTATTCCACATGAGATAGGAATCCAAGTGGTACAATATTTTTTAACAAAAGCAGATTTTAAGCAAGAACAAATTGAATTTATTTTAGAAGGGATTTCCCTCATTCTCACAAACAACTTCTTTTGGTTTAATAACACATTTTACTTGCAAATAAAGGGAACGGCGATGGGCACCAAGTTTGCACCCAGTTACGCCAATCTGTTTATGGCGTATTGGGAGGAGCATTTTATCTTCTCATGCCATCCCTGGGTGTCAAACTTGGTGTCCTACCGCCGGTATATTGATGATATCTTTTTTATTTGGAATGGGACTATTCAGCTTTTAGATAGGTTTTTATTATTTTTAAACGGAAATGAATGGGGCATTATTTTAACAACTTCCCACAGCCCCACAGACATTCAATTTCTAGATCTACATATTTTCATTCAAGACCAACAAATACTCACCAAAAATTTCTTTAAAACAGTCGATGCTAACGGGTACATCGAAAGTAATAGTTGTCACCATAAACCTTGGTTACACAACGCCCCAAAGGGTCAATTCATGCTCATTAGACGAAACTGCACCAAAGATGACGACTATATCCAACAAGCCACACGAATTAAACAATATTTTTTAGGGAAAGGGTATAAAGAAAAAAATTTAGCTGAAACAATGGAAAACACAAAGATTTTACCACGGAAAGAACTACTCACATACAAATCAAAAAAGATACTTCCTCAAACAGATAATAGAGTACCACTTATTTGTAATTATAATGGAAATCACAATAATATTAGGAAAATTATAAAAAAGTATTGGCATATACTACAAAAGGACCCAATTTTAGAAAAAATCCTCCCCATACAACCACATATTATTTATAGAGGGGCTAAAAATCTAAAAAGAATTCTTGTAAAAAGCAGTGAAAATTCAACTAAAACAAATCATTTCTCAGGACTAAAAAATGGGTTTTATGGTTGCGGAAACTGTCAGGCGTGCAAATCCACAAATAGTAAGAAAAGGCATTTGAGCAATCTCCGAGAATTTATTAACAAAGATTTCGTAATCAGGGACAAATTAACCTGTTTCTCTAAAGGTGTAATTTATATTTTAAAATGTCCTTGCAACCTACTATATATCGGTAGAACTATCAGATGTCTACATGTAAGAATCTCCGAACATATACGGAACATCAAAAAAGGTTTGGAAACCCATAGTGTTTCTAACCATTTTAAAACCCACCACAATCAAAACCCTGAGCAATTATTTTTTTGCCCTCTAAAAACAGTTATACATGATTGGAGAGGAGGAGATTATAATAAAAAAGTGGGATTAGAAGAGATGAAATTTATTTTTAACTTCAATACCCTTATCCCACATGGTTTAAATTCCGATTTTGAAACTTGTCACTTCTTTTAATATATATAAAAAAAAAAAAAAAAAAAAAATTTCTATGCACAAAGAATTACTAATAGATGCTTATTTGGAGGTATCAATATTGAATTCTGTATAAAAGTAACCCATTTAGCACTAATAACGTGTATGTGAACACTGGCACTTTTTGACACCCAAATATCTCACTCACCATTATTAAAATAAAAGCTAATGTATACTAGCACCTTAAATAATAATAAAAAAATTATGATACTTATTCTAATGGAGGTTGGATGATACATAGACACCTCTATTTAACACAGTGATGGCGAACCTATGGCACGCGTGCCACAGGTGGCACGCCGGGCCCTTTCTGTGGGCACGCGGCCACAGGTTCGCCATCACTGCAGAGTAGGCGCCTGCCTGCCCGAAACGG